TAACCATTCATAAACGCAAAAAATTATTACACGATTCAATCTAGCCGGACTTGATGAAATTTTTGAATCTGCGCCATCTATTGAATTTTTTGTTAAAACTTCTGAACGCGTTCGGTATAATGGGAATGTCTTTTTATAATTATGCACACTAAAAAAATATGTTTCAGGTGTTTTAATTAAATCTTAACATTTTTACGCGTTGTCGCTTTATAGAAACTTTAAACGAGGAGTTGACTTTATTATTTTAAAAGTTAAAAGGAAGTTATCGAAACGTCAAGTTGCCGCTACTCAAAGTTTCAAATTATTATCAACGAATGTTTCTTATTGGAAAATAATAATAAGACAATGATGCAATTCCATTTGACTTATGTAAATTAACGTTTTGTTTTTTTTTATAATTAAACACTGTGTTGCCTTAATGTTTTAGCTATAATTTTTTTATAATAAACACTCAATTGACTACGATGGGTAATGACTTTCCAATGTTTTCGGCCATATTGTTTTCATGTGATGTGCGATCGCTTTGTTTATGTTTTCGTTTAAATTATAAGGAATTAGTTTTAAACATAAAGTTGCATAAATATGTGTAGAAGTAGTAAAATATATGTGTCGGTTTTTCAAATAGTGTATTTGTTTATCAGTGTCTAGTATATTATTCGATTGTGAAGTTTGTGTTGATAATAGGTAATTTTTTGTGTTTGTTTAAAGTTAAAAACAGTAAGTTTTCGCAAAAATGTGTCCTATAACGACTAGATTCAGGTAATGACCATAGGCAGAACTCAAGTTACGAGAATTGACCCAAGTCAAAGGTAGGTAATGTAAATATGTAGGTACTATAATGGATCTTTTATATGATGTTCTTGTTTATTGATTGATAATTCTTAAAAATATCAACTTATACCTCGGGTTGTTTTGATTTACATATTAATTTATTATTAATAATTATGTAATGTAATAACAAATGTACCGCTTATACTCGGCTCGGCCACAGCCGGCCGCGCTTGTTGTTGTTTTGTTTGTTGGTAGGTACCTACGTTCTTAAATTCGTAATTATGATTTTGAATAGATTATTTAGCAATTTGATAATTGAATTTGGTTCATCAAATTTTGATTGAATTGATTTATTATTAGTATAATAAATAGATGCTTCATTATTTGTAAGTTTTGTTGGCTTATTCGATAGCTGATGTAGTACTTTACAAAAAATACGCGAGATGTCAGTGTATGTAATTTGGCGAAAGAATAAACCACAATATTCTTGAACGCACTTTTCAACAAAATGTATTCTATACATGTACCTGTCTTGTAGGAGTATGATTGTATGACCGGGGGGGAGGGCTTTAATCATACGATATTTAGTTGCCTACCCTGTCTCGAAAATCTGTGCACGCCACTGACTATAGTCAGACATACTGAATTACCTGAAAATGACTACTTACGTACGGAAAAATACTGAGAACAGCTCTACTAGTTTCGAGTCACAGAGGGACTCTTCCGCATGCGCAGCGTGCGCGGTCGATTGGCGCCATGTTTGTTTGTCCGCTTGAATGTTTTTGTGACGTCATTGAAATAAAAAGTACTTTAAGTTTAATATGTACATATGTGTTGACAGAACTCCTAAATACTCCAAGTGAGTATAATAATGGTCGTCAATCAAACTAAAACTGTGAAAAAATCCCCTTTCCGTTTATTTCCACTAGTTTTTGTTGGAAACTGTTAAACACGGTATCACTAGGCTTTGTTTCTATAAGAGTAAGGTTCAATTTGATAAAAACGTCTGTTTACTAAGTTCTAAATATTGTCTAAAAAAGGGCAATCATGTTTGAATGTTTTTCCCATTCAACAAGAATTAGAAAAAAAAGTAAGTGATGAGTGAGAGATGAAAACATTTGTGTGGTTATGTTTAAAAGCGTTTTTACTTAGTTTTTTAAATATATAATTAGGTATATACATACTACGTACATAAATATGACACATGTCTCTGTGTTTTTGAACGCAAACATCTCAAAAAGTATTGAACAATAAAAAGTGTTTCATAACTTTTCAAGGTTTCCTCCATTTCTCTGTCCATACCAATATTACCAACTTAGCCTATTCAAGGACAAGTTTAGTTGTAAGTATGTACATAAGTACGTATATAATAAAGTACTATGTGCATATATATGTTCGAAGTGGATTATCCTTTTGAGGTTGAGTGGAGCAGTTACAAGAATCGGCACAAGGCGACCGTCATCTAGCAAGCTAAAACTTACTTAGGATCACCTTGTTATATATTTTCTCCATTACTTAGTTATTATTTTGTGTCCAAATAGATTTAAAAATACAAAACGTCCAACATCAAGTGACGAGACCTAGTCAATATAATTGGTTAGTTTCTTTAATCAAAAATAAATTATTTCGGCTGTTCAATACAATAAAATATTTAAAATTAATCACACTTTCATAAATTGATATTATGACCAACTTAATCTTAGTACTTTATCGCGGAGAACCTAACGGGTAACCGGGGCTCCGGCTCGACGTGCAGGAGAAGGAACGGGGTGGTTTTTAGTCAGTAAGAGTCTGACACTCCCTTCCGCCTCACCCAGGCAGGAGCAGTCATTCGATGATTTTAACCCCTTAAAAAAAAAATCTTAGTACTTTCCAGTCTTTTTTTAAGAAATAAGTACGCTGTTTGATGCTACAAACACAATACACAATCTCGCACAAGTTCGAAAAAAGTATTGAATTTAACTAGTTGGCAAGTACCCAATTACACTTAGAATAGAATAGAATAGAATAGAATATAATTTTATTGTACACCATTAATAATACAGTACATACAGAAAAGGAAATGACAAATATAAATAAAAATAATAATGGGCTTAGACACTTAAATAGATTTTTCTATTTCACGCTGAAAACATACCTACAGGAGTACTTTAATCTACAAACTAAATCTATAAATGCCGCTAATAGCACAACTAATTCACCAAAATAACACCAGAACATAATACAAAAATGTACTAAAGTGTGTAATTTAAGTGTTGGAAGAAAAATACTAAATAGTCACCTCATTATATAGTATTCCTATAGTTTTCCGGTCCATAACTCTGTGACCGTTGCGTGATGGCAAAATGTCAGATAATCATAGTTTAGCCGCCATCATTCATGGAGATTCAATTGTCACCGTGAAATTCAGATGTCAGGGAGATCCACGTCCGACAATTCAAGTATAAGGGTCTCTGTAGACGAGTTGCCGACCACGATTACAAAACGCTGCTGCTTTTTTTTAAACATTGCCATAATTTCTATAGTTTGAGGACATTTTATATGAACTGGCTTAATGTTAGCCATTATTAACTCGTCGAGTACCGGTTTTATAGACACAATTAAAGAACAATAGGTCGCGGTCACCGGTGACCGCTTGGTGTTTGACAGTTTAAATACTTTTTTTGGCCATTCGACACCTTCACACGCCACTCACGAGTTTTGTTTCTACAACACAAGAGATTTCATGCGCTTCAGCTACATTTATGGCAGTGTCTAGCTTCTAGTATGTTTTGTAGATTTGGCCAGTTGCTCGTCTGCAGTGACCCTATGGACCTTAGATACAGACGTCACTTGCGAGATCAGAGTTGTGAAATTGGACTATGCGTTCCTCACCATGAGATATAACAAAACGCTCGTTTCTTATACATACACGGGGTGTTTAACATTTTAACCGGTTGAAAGTACGGGAATAAATATGTGATGTATTTGTGTCATATAACAAAAGTTAAGTTAAATTCATGCTCAATAAACCTGTAGAAACAAATTCATAGCATGTTTCGCGCAGGAATCAAATTCGGATCACGATGCTCAGTCGATAATTCAGTCGTATATATTAATTAATTACACTAATTTGTGTTAATACAGCTTTCAATACATGTACACAAATCCGGTTTATATCCACATAACTATTATAATCCATGCTGAGTGCTGATACTATAATTCCTCTTAGTACACCATTATATTCACGGGTTTCAGTGAATTACAACATAATAGACATAATAACCAGGCCATGTTTATTGACAGTCTATTATATACTCAATCGTGTAGATAATAAAGTAAATAATTAATTAATTCAATTATTTAATTAAGATATTTGTGTAAAGTATATTAATGATATCGTGGCTTATTATTTTGTTTAAATATTTATGAATTTTCTTGGAATTTCTAATATGTGGATTTTATAAGTGCTGGTACATAGATTTCTGGGTTCGATTCCTTGTTTTTTAGACAATTTAACAAGGAACCATAGCAACAGTAATTACCTCATAAAGGAAAATCTGAAATACTGAGAATAGAAAAACTACCGAAATGTTTTGCGTTTGTTTTTGCTTCGTATTCACAGAATCAGATAGATATAACATTTATTCAGATTATCCTTTAGCAAAACATACTGATTTACACGTCGCTGTTTCTATGAAACATCACAAAATTATATGCTATCGAACATCGAGACCTTTGCCCATGTTATTAAAGTCCAAAGTGCAATAAAACCTGTATCCGACTATAGCGCGGTTAAAAAATAAACCATGTATGTACAATACACAACTGAATGTAGTTTCAAAACATCCTCCTTTATATTAACGCTGAGTTCTCATGCAGGTACCAGTCGCTGGACAGCCGCTGACCAGAACGGCCACACAGAACAATGGCTCAACACAAAACCACATAAATTAAACGAAAAAAATAAAAGAACCACAATACATTTAGTGGCAACTTTAATCACCTAAAACAAAGGACTTTATCTAATTGGAATTCTACATTATCATTATAAACGAGTAATTGATACCAAACAGATATGTTGGTGAGACAAATAAGGCAAGCATTCTGTCTATCAATGTTTCAGACATAATGTGGTATCAAACATCGCAACAGTGACGGTCGGTCGTGCTCGAGTGCTGTTTATAAACAATGATAGTGATATTATAGTCATATTTTGAATTAATCCGTCAACAGAAAAAAAAACGAAAATGGCGGAAGAAAAAACAAAGCCAGTTGATACGGAAGAAAAGCCATTGAACAAGGATGCCATTCCTAGCCTGTATAAGGACAAAAGTTTCAGAGAAAAGTTGAGATATATTAAGGACAACATCACTGTGGAACCATTGTTAGCTGGCCTGATCATTCCAAGTATTATTTCCAGGTTTGCTATGGGAAATCTTAATTTGGACAAAGCGTGTCGTGTTAATTTTGGTTTTGGAGACGAGATTTGTGATGCGTTAGTAAGTAAGGCGAGTAAGAACTTTACGGAGTACGAGCAGGCGGTGCAGCAGCTGATCTCTTCAATAGACATTTGGAAGAGTGTGATCTCAACGGCATTACCATGTATTATAATAATGTTCCTAGGAGCGTGGAGTGATAGAACGGGGAAACGAAAACTAATTATAATGCTTCCAATTTACGGAGAACTGTTAACGTCGATAAATAATTTAGTAAATGTCTACTTCTTCTATGAGATTCCTGTACAAGTTACGGTGTTCTTAGAGACGCTATTTCCAGCCATTACCGGTGGTTGGGTGACAATGTTTTTGGGTGTATTCAGTTACATTAGTGATATTACTTCGGAAGAGTCCAGAACATTTAGAGTGGGTCTTGTGAACTTTTGTATGACCGCCGGTCTGCCTATTGGTATCGGTATCAGTGGGTTTTTGCTGCAGAGGATGGGATACTATGGATTATTCACATTGACAAGTGGACTGTTTTCTCTTGTGCTGATGTACGGTACTTTCTGCTTGAAGGAGCCTGATCAGTGGCTTCAGGAGAAAGGACTGCCACCGGTAAGTTGGACTTTATATTATTTCTTTAGAGATGGAAGCGTCATGTACTGGGTACGTTCAGATATTCCAATAATACCTTGTCCAGCCCCGACATTGGACAGAGAATAACTCAATTGAGTCATAGAGTCAACGAAACAGTGTATTATCAGCACGTTAAACTTCGTCGACCTAAAGATTTTTCTTCCATTTGCTTAAAACTCCTTATATACACACTGTGGTTGGCCATTACAATTGCGTTTGTATTTCGTATGTATGTATTTTGGGTTTTACATACACTATATATCTCAAGATAATACGAAACGTAGCAGTAAGTTAATCATTGATTGCGTTGCGGGATTAAGATTATAAATGACCGAGAATGTACTCGCTCGTGTAAGCAAATGACAAACCTGTACTAATAATTATTATTAACTAGCTCCTGCCAGTTGCTTCGCCCGCGTTTCTATGGGGCATAAAAAGGAGCCTATGTAATCTTCCCCTGCTCCTAATATCATCTCGATCCGTTCAGTCGTTTTGACGTGAAGAAGTAACGAACAACCATACATATGTATTTGTATATATTCGGATTTATAATATTAGTAGGATTTCTAGCTATCCCCAAATAAAATTCTAGTAAATTTAAAAAAAAAACGTTGCTTCACACTAGGATTTCTTTGTGTGGGTGGGTGCATGCCTAAACTCATAATTTTATATACATATCATTCGCACATTCGCTTTTTTTGAGGGGTAAAATCATCCAATCAATCCTTCTCCTGCCTTGGGTTGGCGAGAGGGAGTTTCAGACTCTTACTGACTAAAAACCACCCCGTTCCTACTCCTGCACTTCGAGACGGAGTTAGGCCTTCCGCGGCTCCGTATCGGGCATCAGCCCTACTGGGCCCCATCATTCTCAGTTTTACAGCAACCAGTCAGCTATTACGCCTACCGTGCAGTCAAGTTTTTGTCAGTCAGTATTTGTTTTTGCTAAGAGCAACTCAAATGTGAGGATTCTGCTTACCCATTTTGGTAAAAACACAACACGCATCATGTTAATGGCAATGATTATATCGACTTTGACTTTGATAAAAAATGATTGAACATAACAATTGAAAGAACATGGTAAATTACCAGCATGATGCAATTTTATATTTATTTCTTTAAGCTTAAAGTTCAAATTCAAATTATCAAGTTTAATCTTTATTTGTTTTAATCAATACATAGCTACTTATGCACGTGTAGTCATATATATATACCTATATATATGTATGCATGTACGGTCAAACGCAATATATAAAATATATGTCACTGTTTTGAATTATATATTTTTGATAATAGTATCAATATTTTAATAGATTATGTTTTATATCTTAACTAGTATTAGGATTATTACTTTATTAGAATACCTATATATTATTTGAATATATGACTCATATTATGTATGACCTAATAATGAGTTGTGTATGTTAACAATAGGTACCTAAGTCAGTAAATTTATGTCAATCAAACAGGTGAAGTCTGAAAGTGTATATTTATTATATATGTATACTAGCGACCCACCCCGGCTTCGCACGCGTGCCATGCTTATGTACTTTACGACATCACATTAGAAACATTTAAATTTATCAGTGTTTCTCTACTATATTAAGCATTTGTTATAGATATAAACCTTCATTAAGAATCACTCTATATATTAAAAGGAACCGCATCAAAATCCGTTGCGTAGTTTTAAAGATCTAAGCATACATAGGGACAGACAGACGGCAGACAGCGACTTTGTTCTGTACTATGTAGTTATTGTACATAAAATTCCTTTAATCAATAAAAAAATTTCAACTTTATTTACTCATTGCAGTACTAAATGTCGAGGAGCTGATGTCTAAAGCATCTTGTATATTTTATTCGCATGTAACAAATAGTTTTTATTTAAAGTGTGATAAAAATTCTCAGTTAATCTATTTACATTTCAAAATTCTGCTGCATTATAGAGGTATATAATGTAACTGGCAATTTTGATCAACATAATAAGACACTTACTATAAATAAATTGGATAATATCCTTAATCAAAAATAAATTAGTTCGACTGTTCTGTGAAATACAATGAAATATTAAAAAAAATAATAACACTTTCATTAATTAATTGTATGCCAAAATTTTATTTTAGTATCTTTCCAGCAAATTTAAAATTTTTACAAATTACAATTTTTTTATTAAATAAGTATGCTGTTTGACGCTAAAAAAACGTGACGTCAAAAGTAATATGACGACGATAAAAGTATGGATTTTGATTAGTTGGCAAGTACCCAATTTTCCTAATGTGACTGGCCACATAATACCTGGTACTTATATCAATTTCCAGTCCTCTTACAAGTCAGTTAACCACTTGACCAAGAACAAAAAATTAATAAACATCAATAAAAAACTACAATATTTACTCTACTTACTACAGATATGCAGCCAATAATAAATAAGTGCTGTAATTAAACAGGTAATTACGTTTACACTGATAAGATCTCGCAATGTTTGCCATCGATTCTTAAGCAATCAGAAGATCTCTCTTTTATCTTGATATATTGTTACTAAGGACTTGTATTTTTGTAATAGAAACAATAATGAAAATAAAATATATGTTACTAAGGACTTGTATTTTTTAATAGAAAAACAATAATGAAAATAAAATATCTGTCCTTGTGTATGCGTTCTAATCTTTAAAACTACGCAACGGATTTTGATGCGGTTTTTTTTAATAAATAGGGTGGTTCAAAGTTGAGTTTTATGTGTAAGTTTAAATTAATGCGTGCCCATGCCCGCGCCCATCCGCGGGCAAAAGCTGAGTAGCTTAAACTTTTTATTTTTATGATATAACTATTCGATAAATATAAAAAGAAAAATCAGGTGTCAAACTGGAAACTATTTAACAAAGTAATTTTTGAAAGTAAATAGATACATAGTGTAGTTGTTTACATATTTTTTATCGCATAGAATTTTAAATTCATATGAGTCATTTGATAACATACTAGAACAATCCAATCATAGTCCAAAGTTTCTGTTGAAATATAAATTTATACAGAATTAATCTTATAAAACTGTTAATTTAGTTTGTAAAATTTTGTTATCTCGAGAACAAAATATGTAATTGTATATAAGAAAGAACGTAATACGTTAGACATAAAAATGTATTTGTCTTAAAATTGACGAAAATTCCATCTATCTCTATAATAAAATGTATATAGATTGATTCAGCCGTTTAGGAGTATCGATTAGCACGACAGCTAAACACGAAAACTTCTTTCTTTTTTTTACGAAAAGTTCTTTAATGTAAGAACCATTCGTTTTCAAATATCCACCGCGTATTCAAAATTGGGCTCTAAAACTATTACAATTAAGGTTCAATTTATAAAATTTCGATCAAACACATAATTGACTTAGGTAAATTTATCAAGGTACTTAGTGATTAGGGAACGTTTTGAATGTTACATTAATCTGAATATGATAACGTATAAAACACTATTTTTATCGATATTAACTTTATCGATATTTTATTTAGGTGACGATAACCCGCTTAAGGTAAAATTATACTTTGCCTATTAAATACAATAATTTGATTAGATAATTCTAACTATTTCTATGTAACATTACACTAATGTTCGTTGGGGTAGGTGAATTTTACGCTTTCATACTAGCGTTTATCCAGCGTAGTCGTTCGATAAACGTATTCGCCGCGCAGACGCCGCGCTGACGCTGATGGTGCGATAACGTAAACGCCTACGCTGGACAAGCGCTAGTTTGAAGGCGCTCTTTAATAAATGCTCAAAATTAAGTACAATTTACATTTATTAACAGCCTATAAATTCCCACTGCTGAGCAAAACCTCTTCCCACATGCGAAGGTTTGAGCATTAATCACCACACTTGCTCAATGCGGGTTAGCGATTACAAACTGAAAATTAGAAATTATAAGCCCAGGTTTCCTTACGATGTTTTCCTTCACCGTTTGTCAGTGGTGTCTAGATAATCTTAGAAAGTACATAGAACTCGGAAAAAGTCACATTAGTACTTGCAGTTAGTAGGTTTCGAACCCGCACCCCTCATGCATGAGAAGTGGACGTCGTAAACCTCCGGGCCACCACGACAATAAATTTACATTACAGATAATTTACAATAGGTAATTCCATTTGTTGGGACTTGGAAATCCCATATCAAAAGTGGCCGATACCATACACGTGTTAAAAGGATGACAGCGCATTTGTAACTCCTCTAGTGTCACGGGTGTCTCTGGGTGGCACTGACAGTGACCACTTAGTGTTGTCATTTGGAACTTATAAAAAGTGTTTATAACATAACATCACGCCTTTTATCCTCGAAGAGGTACACTCGATGAGGTATAAGAGAGGTGTAACGCCCACTTTCACTGTTTATGTTATAAGTCCCATGTAATAGGGGGTGAGCCTATTGCCATATACCGGGCACAATTCCAGAATCCGTGCTACTACTGACATTTTAAAAACCCAGTAATACTTTGCCCGACCCGGGAATCGAGCCTGAGACCCCTTGCCCGGCAGTCGCACTTGCGACCACTCGGCCAATGAGGCAGTCAGAATAGTATTTGTTAGAAAGGGTTTATAACAAATACTATTCTAATGGCCATTTTCACCAATCATCATTAAACTGACACTTAACTAAAATTCAGCGAGACGTCGCACCTAAATTAACTCCTTACTTGTACTATCTGAAGTCTCCCATTGGTTGTTGGAAACCAAACTGACGATAAGTGATTCTTTATATTTAGGAGAGGATAGTAAGAACCGACATGAGCTACTATGAAAAAATTAATTTAGGTAAAGGTCGTGGCTACTATATTGTACCGACCCGTCAACCGAAACCAAAATCCTGATAGCTTAGCTAAATCACTGACTGCTTAACGCTTCCAGTCATCTGCACAAATTATGTAATGAATACTTATTTAGCAAACTTTTTGGTAATAACACAATGATTGTTGAAACGTTTAGTTGTCGGAAATCCCC